TTGTACAATGAAAGGAAACAGTGTAGTAGCTTCTGTTGGTGTTATGAGTCTTCACAGGATCTCTACCAGTATAAATAATCAACCTAACACTCAGGTAGGAAACTCCTGCCTGAAGAAGAAAACACTGGACCAAACAAATGACACTGTTGTGGAGGGAAATCTCCCACAGTCAGCTAATGTTTCCCAGGATGATAAACTCTGCTGTGTTCTGTTGAGCTGTTTTTCTTTCCTCCGTCACTTCTTCTTATAGGCTGTTTTATCCCTGCTGTCTCTTTTATAAAAACACCTTTAATTCATTTCTATTATCACTCAAGGGACTCACCTGCCCCCCCCCCATCCATCTTTTAATAAACAGCCCCACTCACTTCAGTCACAGAGGCATCCATCCATCCCTCCCGTCTCTCTCACACTGACACTAGGCAGAAGAGCTCAGAAGGAAACAAGACCAGGTCCAGAGCCGGTATCTGGCTGGAGCCTGTCGGAGGAGAGTCTGCTGGTTTCAGCCCTTTATCTGTTTGGAACCAGTTTGAAACAGAATCGTTGCCCATTAAGACGCCATCTTAACTAGCAGTCACTTCCTGCTGCCAAAATCCTGATTTTATGACCCCACCGTCATCTGAGTAAATCAACAAACACATGAGTGTGGAGGGAAAGCCTGATGACTCTCTTCTACAGGAAGTAGCTGAGGTTTGTCCAGGAAGTCACTAGATTTGGCGCTAGGTGCATTTTTGAAAAACAAAAAAAATTGCTAAAGCCTCAGTCTGAAAAGTCAGTTCATCTTCTTCTTCGAGTTTTAAACTTTCATCCTATGTGTTGCACGATTTTCCTCATCAGTCCTACTGTCATGAGGAAGCTGACTGAGCATCACCACACTCCAGCTCCTCTACTCCTGTTGGTCTGAGTCTTTTCATTTCTTCCATCATGTCTTCTCTCTCTGCTTCATATTTCCTGCAGCTAGCAAGTTGCTGTTCTACAGTTGGTCGATGTAGCGACAAAGGTGCTAAGTGTTCAACATCATTAGACTGACCAATGGTGTAACTTTATCACTCAGTCAGTCAGTGATGTTCGTGTTTAAAGCCTGGACTTTGTTCATCTCCAGCTCCTCTCTGTAACTCATCTGCTGGTTACAGTCAAACCAGAGCTGAACTCATTTCTAGATAACTGAATCTATTGTTAATGGTCTTAGTTTGACTGTTTGTAGCTCGTTGTTGTTGTCTCTTTTTAGACTGAACATCTGTATAAATCGAGCTAATTGTAGGATATTATCAACTGTGTTGTTTGTTTTGTCTTATTTTTGTTGTTGACTGTTTTAATGACATAAATGTAAAAGAATTAGCAACAGCTATAAACTGTTTGTGCAACACACTCGTTTCATGTCTTGTTTTGAAACCATGTTAAACAAAAAAAAAACTGAGTGAAATGGAAGACCACACATTAAACCTGGATTCACTGGATTCCTGATATTAAGCATTCAGTTTTACAGTCCCAGTTGTGAGCAGAGCCCAGACTTTACTCAGCAGGAGTTTACTTTAATCTGTCCATCTACCATTGTTCTTCTCCACAGAACCTTCGACTCAGAAAGAGTTACTTCAAAACCCAGATAAGATGGAGGTACAACAGTTTGTATTCAAAACAATAGCTGCTTTTGTTAAGCAGCTTAGGCCTGTGTAGTGATCCTGCTGTGGATTTACGCTGCAGGAGTCAGGGAAACAAAGCATGTAAAATAGGACGTCATGTTTTAGGAGGATACTGTACTGTCCATGGGAATACATAACCAGCTATCTACTTCATTTACATATCAGGCGTTGAGCCGGTCCACTCACACACACAGATTTCCTGCAGCAAATGAAAGGTTAAGAGCACGCCAGTGAATCATCACAATCTAACAAGTAGCCCAATAAAAGAAAACAACATTTTACATCTAACAGAAATATCAGAGACAGATCATCTTCATGTTGCACAACCAGCGTTTCACCTCGATGCCCTGCACACTCTTTAACAAACTCAGCTCCAATAAAACTACAGCGCTGCTCTATCCCGTCTCTGCTCAACACAAAATTCACAATGGCCATTATTTCCTAATTAAGGGGTCAATACCCAAAGTGTCACTGGCCTACTTCCAGTGGGTGACCTCATGACAAAAGCAGTCACGTGTTTTAATGAGCTGTACTGTAAATGAGAGAAAATGACTTCCTCAGGTCTTCAGATAGAGACAGAGCTCCGTCCTGACACCGGTCTGTTCTACGGAGGATTTACGTTGTGTGTGAACAGCTGTTCCCGCCCTTACTGCTGCGTCGCACAGCGCGGCTCCTGTTGCCAACCTTGACAACACAATTTATTTATTTTTTTTTCACATGAGCTTTTTGTTTTAAGTCTCTTGGTTTTAACGGTTGTACCGTTAGCTGTTGAACTGAGCTGAAACACAATATATGTACAGTAGAAGTGTAATCCTCAGACTCTCTGTCACTGTTCTTTGCTTTCATTACTGCAGCGCAATGAATCTGGGGATATGTTGGACCAGGAAGGATCCACCTGTTGGAGCCTTCGTTGCCCAGGAAAGCAAGGACGCACCTGAAGGAGCCTTTGAAATGAGAGTGTAGTCGCTCCACAGCCTCTGAAGGATGAGAGCCGACCTGGGACACAGCTTGTGTTGTCGTAGCAAATAACTGATGAAATAAACAAACAAATCATAAACTGCTGTTGCTTACTTAACCAACATGGCGCTCATAGAACTATTGTATAAAAGCAACATCACGCTCGAGGTCGTGATGTCACACTGAAGATCACCAGCTGTGATTCAGTCGTCGGTAAGAGGCCGAAGTACAACATCACCTCACGACTTCTCATGTGATGTCGCTTAAACAACAGCAGAGAAAGAAAGGTGATGACATCGATCACCGACCAGCGACGTTGTGATTACACGACCCTCGTCTCAAAACCTAGTATAATGAGGTACAGCCTTTACAAACTACCATTAATGTTCCTGGCTCTGTGACTGTGTTATTTCATTCAGCATTAAGGTTGTATATGTGTCACCTGTGAACATGAACATGAATATCTGTGTCTGTTCTCCAGTCCCGAGTTTACAAAGTTATTTTTGTCTTTGCTGCACAAGACCAAACTGGTTGTGGGGCATGTGCTGTTGAACTGGTGGCATTATAGTACTGTGTACACCTGCAGGCTTTCACAGCGGTCAGGCAGGAGCACATGATGTCTCTCACTATACAGGCCTGTGTTCTTCCCAACACAACCCAACGCCTCGGGCAGTGTATACAAGCCTGGCTGGATAATCTAATATCATGGATGTCAAGTGTGTGACCAGCAGCATCCAGGAAAAAGCCCCCTTCCCCCCCAGGAGCACAGCAGTATCAGCTCCCTGTCCTTTATTGCCACCTTGGACGAGGCGTGGAAAACGCTCAACAACTGATCGCTAATCAGAACGTACCAGAAGAAACGGGCTCATGCCATCACCAGGCTGGAATTTGAACGGGTGTGAAATCCAAGTCATAGCACATCTGTTTGCTTTTACAGGCACGCGCGCACGCACACGTGCACGCACACACACACTGCTCCCTCAGCTGAGGTCACAGCTGTTTGACAGGAGCCAAACTCCACTAGTGTGAGCATAGAAACAGAAAGTGTAATCCCCCATTTACCCTGAGCCAGTGTCTACCACTCTACCAGGCCAGCACTGCTCTCAGCAGAGAGGAGCATTTGCATGTGGGGCATGATAGATATGGTAAACCTATAAATGATACAACTGAAGGTTAAACTAACAAATACTGTTTCATATTTCACCCTGAGAACAGATGTTTCCTCCACCAGTGCTTCAGTGTCTGTCAGCGATACTGACAGGAGACACTGTGGAGACATAATCATGACTTCATCTAAGTAGGAAGTATAATGAAATTCAGTCTCTAGCTTAAACATGTTCCTTGCACATCATTGAGTTTCAGGAGACGCGCTGATACAGCTTCAAAGATCAACTCATTGAGAAAACACAGAACCCTCATTCACACGGTAACAGCCTCTGGCTCCACAGCACACTGATGTGATCTGGGCCACGCTGCTCTCAGCAGCAGGAGAGCTGAGCTATGAAGCAGCTCACATCTCCTGCCAGTCTGTCAAACACTGATGAGAGAGGTGTGACATCAACACACCGAGTGGGGCCGTGATAGTCAGAGGTTAAAGGTTACACAGTACCTGAACTACTACGTTTAAATATGAAGAACTGCTGCTACAGACAGATATGTTACAGACCATTACTACAGACCATCCACCGGCTACACTCAGCAACGGCTTCACCATCCGACCCATGAGCGCTCAGTAGTTACTACTACATTATGACATCAGACCACACCCATCTTTGAGCTCATCGACACACCTGTAAAGTTTGGTGACTGACACATAAACACCTGCCAGAGGACTCAGAACCACCTCTGTGGTAGCTTCGCCTACACACACATGCATGCACGCACGCACGCACGCACGCACACACACACACACAGGGCTCTAGTTGTATTTAACTTCCTGGGACATCCTGTTAAAATGGCACAAGTCTCCACTTCTCACATTAAAATGTTTTAGTGGTAAAAACAGGCTGTTTGCTGACAGTAACGTAAAATGATCTTCACTACTGTAACTGTTATTCACTGTGTATCTGCAGGTCGTGTCTGTATCACTATAGAATATAGTGCAAAACCTTTTCAACTTAACAAAATGCACAAAGTGAGAGAGAAAGTGTGACTGGAGACTGAGATCAGATGAGCAGCACGAGGGCTGCTTCCCTCAACTGTCTGTTCATGGGATTTTATGAGTGTACATGTATGGAAGCAAATGTGACGAGCATCACACACTTACAGATGAGATATATTCAGACTGTATCAGGCCTCTCTCTCTCTCTCTCTCTCTCTCTCTCACACACACACACACACACACACACCTCTTTCATTCTGTCCAGTTTCACTCGTACAGACATTTTCAACAAAATATCAACTTACGTTCAAAGTCAGAATCATCATCTTCATCATCATCTCCGTTGGACTCTGTTTGCATCGGCTCCCCGTCAAACATCACTCCTTTCGCCGTCTTGCCACCAGCGCCAGCCCCATCCTGATTTCTGGTGTCCCGCAAACGGGTGAAGTATTGTACTGCAAAATCCACCAGGTCTGACGGCCTCTGTCGCAGCACCTCCACAGTGTAGCCCTGCAGCAGTTCTGTCAACCCCACCGGTATCTCAATACTCATGGCTGTGTGTGGTCGGTGGCGGTGTTTGCTGTCTATCTGCAGAGGGAGAGAGAGGTGTCAGAATTTGCTTCAGTACTGGGTCACTCTTGTGTTTTGGTGCAGGCCTGTGTGTGGTTATAAACTGCCTAATGTTCATTTGAACAGCTGACATTGACTGTGTGTCAGTGCTCTGTGTGTCTGTGTGTGTTGAGTGACCGATGACGGCTCAGCATGACCACTGAGGCCGCCTGGGTAAGTGAAGAAATGACCATCAAGTCTGACAGCTGAAAAGATACTACACTGACATTTATAAGCAGGTTAGTGTAATGTCCTACATGAAGTGCTGCTGGGACACTGTCCCTGAGCGGACACTTTATCTGAGGCAGAGCCCGGGAACACACAGTCCCCACAGCTGCACACAACAGATATGAGCTGCACATTAGCTGTGAACAGATAAACAGTCACTTTCGGTCATGAAGCCGCTTCACGTCGCCACAAACAGAGCTGTCAACTTAGGTGGGTGGCCGGTTGGAACTAGCTAGCGAAGCGGCTAATTAGCTAATACTCCAGTCAACTAGCTGGCTCACGGGGCTTTACAATCCAGAGATAGACTTGGCTAAACTTACCGATCTAACTTAACGCTAGCTAACGAATAATGACTGCAGCAAATAGGGCTAGGGTTAAAAAAGTGCAGTCTCACTTTCAAACCACCAGGCGTTAGCTATCTTGCTAGCTAGTGTGCCACCTTCAAGGAAGCCTTCACCGTTAGCTTACGGTGTAGTATGGCGCACTGGCTGCAGGAGCTAAGCCCCGGATAAGTGGCTGGCCGGATAAACGTTGCTATGCAAGCACAGCAAGTTGTACAGGAGCGGTAAGCCGTGTGGTGAGCTAACTCAACATTAACCGACAGTGTGTCACTTACGTGCGATTCAGTCTCCCCGGCTGAACTAGCCAGTCCCCTCCTGCTCGGTGTCTTCCTTGTTCTCCCTTATTTCGCCTCTTCTTTCTCGCCAGTCTCTTTGCCAGTGTAGCGACAGTATCTCTCCACAGAACTCACTGGTACAACGTAAAGCCAACGGTTTTACGTTAGCGTCACCTTGCTAATGTTCAGACGGCTATATTAGCTTGCCAGCCAGCTGTACAGCGATGCTGGCTAAGTTAGAGGGAAAAGCTTCGACTTCGCCGCTGCAGCCTCTTACGACGTCCACGCACTTAGTGAGGGTGGGACTTACAGTGGCAGTGGAGGGAGCAGGCTAGCTGACAGGCTAACTGGCTGACTTGCTAAGTACTTGTTAGCAACTGCCTGTTTTCTTTTGGACACTGCCGAGCGACTCCACTCTCCTCAAGACACAAGTATTCCGCCGCCGCCGCCGCTGCTGCTGCCGGGTGACAAATCCTGAGCTTGGCGTTTACACCGCTGCGCCACACCGCCGGTCAGTTCAACCCGCGCGACCGACGGAAGCGTTTATTCAACGTATTCCAGCAGAATGGCGGCAAATTACAACAAGAGGAGCCTGTAAGAACGAACTGGAAACACGTTTCCTCACTCCCGGCGAGGCGCACCACAGTTTTACGCACGAATGAACCGCTGGCACTGGCAAGCGTGAGGGGGCGTGGTTAGTCAGTGAGCAGAAAGCGCTTGACATTGACTGACAGAAACAGCGGCCAATCAGACTACAAGTTCAGAAAACCCCAGCCAATAGAAAAATGTTATGTAAGTAGAGGCGAGATAGAAGGCAGAGCCATATTAGTCCTCTCAGGGAAGCACCACACCCACTGGCCTTGTCAGGTTGATAGAGATCACTAGAAATTTATGATAAGAAATGAAACACATTCCAGCAGCCAACATGTCTGACTGAACATAGTCCCTTATACTTTGTGCTGCAGTTTGTGAAGTAATCTCCATGGAAACCTATCTGTGATGTCATACGAAAAGGAAAACATATATAGTCATATATAATTGACATATATATATATATTTAAATATGTATGTATACACACACACACACACACACACACAGATATAAAGTTAACAATTTTTCCTTTCAGACATATATCTATACTGTATATATATCTGAAAGGAAACTTGTTAACTATATATGTAATTATAATGAACTGTTACTGTGTGATTTTGGATTTACTGAGTATTTTCATGGTCTCAGACTGATCACATGACTCAGAGCGGGTTGTTCATTGATTTCCAGTGGTTCAATCCCCAGTTCCTCCTGTCTGCGTGCCAAAGTGTCCTTGGGCAAGACACTGAAGCCCAAGTTCCCTCACTTGCAAGTTGGTTTGGATAAAAGCATCTGCCAGATGAGTAACTGTAATGGACCATCGATCACACACTTTGGTTCTTGAAAAATCTAAAATGGGGTTTTCTCCTGACCCACTTCCCTCTCCTGTCCTCACTGCTCACTCATTCCCTCCCTCAGCCTCCATCCACCATCCTCCTCACAGCTCTCCTCAGTGAATCCTCTGAACTTTATCAAATCTTCCCTCTGAATCCTGAATTCTGCCTGTTTTTCCAGTGAATTATAACCTGATAATTGTTGTTGTTCACTGAGTCTGACTCCCGGTCCACAGCCTGCTTCTCCTGCAGGAATGAGCCAGCTGAAGTGTGGAAGGTGACTGACGGTGGATCTACAGGTTCCTGTTCTGAGAGCTCATGTAGCATCTCTTCTCTTCCATTTCCATTCTTCAGCTGTCACAGAGGTAAAGCCGTTGCCATGGCCACAGCAAGCCCAGATTTAATTCCTTGAACCCATTTGTGATTGGCCTCGTCTTCTTTTCCAACAAACACAGAGGGAAGCGGAGCTCCAGGCTCCCTCTGCTGGACCATCAACTTTACACTCAAACTCCTGGAAATACAGCTCCTCATCAGTGAGACATTTCTGAGTCTCACAGGACAGATGATGGAGGTCGATCATCTGAAATCAGTTAGCTTGTGAACTTCCTCTTCTCTCTTGTTATGAATAAGCACTGCGGTATGTACTTCATGGTAATTAGCCTGCAATAAGACTCATGTCTGTGTCTCCCTCACAGGAGAGCACTTTTCTGGAGGACAGATTTCCCACTGGAGCCACAGGAACATGAAGGAGTGTAAGTCCAGCCCTCACTCAAAGTGAAAGATGAATATTCACATGTGTGGTTGGGATTCTGGTCTTGGATTTCCTTGAAATGGCATCCTCTGGGACCCGCTGCTAATGTGGTTCCAGCGAACTCCAAAAATGTCTCAAGGAGAGCTGCTAGCCCACATTTCAGAGAGCGAGACGGGAGGGGGGAGAAACTGGAGCAGAGAGAGCAGAGGCAAAGACAGAGAAGAGAGAGAGGAAAAGAAGAGTGTAGTGTGTGTGGATGTGTGACATCCCGGTCTCTGTCTGCTGAGGTAGAGCCAGGTTCCTCTTCAGTCGTTATCAGGTGTTGACATGAGGATGAACAAGGGGAAGGAGGGAGAGAAAACAGAGTGATGATGATGAGACTGTAACATATGGCGGCTGTCCGGCCTGAAAACCCTGTTGCATCTTTACCTCTTCTGTGGAATCACTCTTCTGTAGAGAGCCGAGTCAGAGCAGTTACAACACGACTGTCGTCCGCTCCTGGAGATTCAATTACTTATGGGTCAGTGGTAAAAGAGTGTGATGAGATTACAACACAGGACCTCGGTGTTGGGACAGGAAGTAAAGAAAGAGCAAATCTTTAGTTCATTCATCCCTCTCCTGTGTGTGTGTGTGTGTGTGTAGACCTGGAGACTCAGCTATCACATTCATAAGCCTCAGACTGTCTTCAGTGGATTCTGTGATGCAACAGCGCCACCTACTGGCTGATGTGGCCCAGTCTTCATGCAGCAGCACAGAGACCAGGTCCAACGAGCCCAGGTCTCTTCTCTTCTGACCTAAAGACTAATAGTTTCCTCTGATAATACAACTAATAAACACTTTATTAATTGCTTTATATTGTTTTGAATCAAGATGAAAACATAACAGACGTGTTGTTGCACACAATGCTTTTCTCCTCTGCTACAGTGTTTAACCACATCGTTCAAATCCTAAAGCCATGAAATGTACTGATTTAGTTTATTATAAAATGATGAAAATAATGTAAAAGTTAAAGTCGAAGAGTTGAATGAAAGTCACTCCAGACTGTGTCACTACAGGAGAGTAGATCTGACCTGAGAGGAGTTTGTAACATTAAAAAATGGATTAAATGTGTTTCTGTTGTTGGAGTTAAATTAAGGAACAATGTGAATATAAATTTTAAAACATGTAATTTCCTTTTGGTTTTGAAAACAGATATTTTCTGAGGTGTTTTCTTTTTGGTAGGTAGATTAATTGGTAAGAATGTGGGCGGAGCCTGAGACCAGTGACTGTCTTTTTTCTGTCTATATTATTTATATTTACTGTTTTATATGATGATTGAATAAAACGTCTTCTACAAATCTACTTTAATAATAAACAGAACATGAAGTGACAAGTGAAGCATGTTGAGGAGGAGATCAGTTCAACAGTCATAGAGTTTATTCTGATTATAGACATTATCAACATTTTAGTAACAAGCAGTTTGACTATTTCCATTATTACATCTGACTGTATAAACATCTTATTTATAATTTTCAGTCCCTTGAATCAGATGATCTGATGCTGCGACTCAACATATTCAACAGTGACTGGAGCTGAACGCAGCGTCACGAGTCAGATGAGTTTGGATCTGAGTTACGTTGATGTTTATGGCNGTGACTGGAGCTGAACGCAGCGTCACGAGTCAGATGAGTTCATTGAGATCATCAATGAGATCATTGTTGAACTTTGACCTTTTGTCACTTCCTGGTTGAGTATCAGCACTGGACCAATCAGATCAAGTGTCATCAGTATTTAACAAACAACAGGTTATTTTACAAGGAAGACATTTTCTCTGTGTGTGGTCCACGATGTGATTCATGATACTTCATCAATGTTCATGTTCGGGCTGATTATTATTAAACCCACTGTGTCATGAATAAAGCAGCACAGTTCTCTGTTTGTCTGGACACTCACACTTCATCCATCTCCGGAGGTTCCTCATCACAGCTGAGAGAAAATCCTCAGGTGACAAATGAAGACGGAGATCTCCATGTTTGTTTCTTCATGAACAGTGTCACATGACTGAAGGACAGAGTGACTGTGAGAGAAAGTAAAGAACCGTGGTAACGTTTGAATCTGTTCATGTGGAACCATGATTCAAGATGAAACTGAATTTGTAAAAAAGTTTTTCAACATGTTGAATTCATCTGTTTTAGTTTTTTAACTTGAGACACTCATAAAGTCTCAAACCTAATGGCCCCTTTACAAAAGCCTCCCAGCATTTAACAAGTACAAATAAGGACATGGAACGCAGCCCTTCAATAACTGACAGGAACAGTGACGGACTCACATCTGGTTCTTAATCAAACGTTACAGTCACTCTGACGTTACAGCAGCAAACAGACACAGTCCAGTCTCTACTGAGGACGTCTGTGGACAAACCACAACAACAAGTGATTCAAGGAGCTGAATCTGAGGACGTGTGTTTGACCTACATCTGCTCAGAGAGAGAGAGACAGAGAGACAGAGAGAGAGAGAGAGAGAGAGACAGAGAGAGACAGAGAGAGAGACAGAGAGACAGAGAGAGAGACAGAGACAGAGAGACAGAGACAGAGAGAGAGAGAGACAGAGAGAGAGAGACAGAGAGAGACAGAGAGAGAGAGACAGAGAGAGACAGAGAGAGAGAGAGAGACAGAGAGAGAGACAGAGAGAGAGACAGAGAGACTTACTGAAGCAGATATAGAAACAGATGTGACAACAGAAGACCAGAGTAACACATCTGCTTAATGCAGTTCACCACACACACACACACACACACACACACACACACACACACACACACACACACACANCACACACACACACACACACACACACACACACACACACACACACACACACACACACACACACACACACACACACACACACACACACACACACACACACACACACCGTAGTAATAAGGCACAAACACTGGACCACATTCCAATAATAGACGTACATACATTCCACACATTCCCATAATAATCTAATCAAAGAAACTGTTGAACTCTTGGTCAAATGAATCTGAGTTCTTCCTCAGAAACCTGATTCCTGGGATTTAACCTTCAAACATGTTGTGAACAAACGGAGGTTTTCTGAAGGAGGAAACTACAGGTCTGATTTGATTCTTAAAAAGATGAAAGTTAAAGTTCCTGAAAAGTAAATCTGAGGAAGGAGAAGTTGATTTTCCTCAAAGTTGCAGCTGGAACTGAAATGAAACCATGAGACGTTCAAACATCCAGCGTTCTGACTGATTCACACCGGAGCAACACACTCTCCAACATCACCTCAGAAACACGGTCAGTCATCGATCTCTGATCTGACCTGCTGTGCATCGCACTGTCATCATGACTCTTCATGTGTCTGAGCATCAACAGTCAAACCATGTGACTGGTTTCTGTAGAGAAAGTGCCTCAACATTATACTGCAGATTCATTCCTATAAATACTCTGAGATAAATAAAAGATCTGGATTTCTGTATTTTCATCAAGTGTTGTTAGCAATGCTATGCTAATGCTATTATACAGTGTGTTACAATTAGAAAAAAACACAGCAAGATTTGAATGAGGGTTTGTTCCAAAACACAGAATCAGCCTCGTCTCCAGTGGAAGAAACGATTCACTTCAACAGCTGGAAACATCTGGACTTTATATGATGAACTTCATTCATTTTTCATTTTCAGCATTTTGGACAAAAACCTCTTCAACTCCTGCTGCTCACTGACTTCATGCAAACTGAGCCTCTCCAGTGCATTTTAATCTGTGGCCTGCATCATACACATATGTACATATGTGTATGTATATATATATATATATATATATATATATATATATCATATAGAAACAGTCATTAAGTCGAGATTAAAAAAAACAACAGCCTCATTGACAAAGTGACAGGACGACTGAGTGACTTCATTAGAAAAGCCTGATTAGATCCAGAGTTTCCCGCCCTCGTTATCGTCTCTCTTCACCAAATATAGAAGCTCCGTCCTAAATAAAAAACTTCTAACAGTCGAGGGGATTATAACATTATTAATACATATTCACATGGCTCTCAGTACGCTCGTTAGTAGAAAAGGACATCAGCTTTACAACATGTGAGGACTATGTCCAGACAGACACACCTTTAAGACAGACACACCTGGTGGGCCACGGCGGTATTGCAAGTGGGCCGACTAATCATTTTCAAAACAGAACAATTTTGATAAAAAGATGTAAATAAAAAAACATAATTAATGTTTTTAAATGTTTTAAACAAAAGGATCTTTAAACAATATTCAAAGTGTTCCTTCGGTCCGTCACTGTGATGAGACGGCGGCAGGAACCTTCATGTTGTGGCTGCTGGACCTCATCACACACTTCTGTCTCAGTCTGACTCAAACTGGAGACACAGTGAGCTCTGAGGACATTATTCGTCTTCTGTGTCAGGACCAGGTCGGACATTTGAGAGATTCTGGTGGATCCTGAGCTGGAACCTCTGGTCTAATGTGTGTGTGTTTTCAGGCTGATCTGAGATCAGCTGATTCCTCACTGTTGCTCCTTCATCAAAGGGACAAGCAGCTCCGAGAGGAAGCTGTTCATCCTACACCACTAACCAACATCCAGTTTTCACAGGTTGGTTTTACTGTTACCATGGTTACTAACAGCTTCTCTCTCTCTTTCTTCTCCTCTCACTCAATCTCCCTCGCTCGCTCTCTCCGTAGCTAACAGCAGTGATATGCACAGTGACAGGTGAAGCCGTAAGCCTGGGGGGTGGGTGGGGCAGTGTGTGTGTGTGTGTGTGTGTGTGTGTGTGTGTGTGTGAGTGTGTGTGCTGCGCCTGCTGCAGCCAATCAGGAGGAGCCTGTGTTTGAAGTGCGGGTGTAGCTCTGGTGGAGGTGAAGGATGTGAGGATTACATCACACCTTCATCTACGTCTGCCAGTGTCACCTGACACTTGACCTCTGATACTGAGAGAAAAGATGAACTCACTTGTTTTTTTTAAATTCAATCCTGCAATGTGAAAGTATGGTGTTTGTAATTTTAATGAAGTATAACTGAATGAATTTACTGTAAAAATATTTGAATGAGGAAATGTCTAATTTAAAGAGTGGATGCATTTTATTTTGAAAATAATGGGATTTTCTTTTGTTTCTTTAAAGGTTATCACCCTAACTAACACTACTAACCAGTCACTCATTATTAAACTAAACTGGACTGGAGAATAAAAGGAAGAAAAGTAAAGGGAGATTTCTTGTGTAACCTGACTTTTCTTTTGAAATTTGATTCTGTACTTTTATTCATTTTAACATCTTGTGATTTATTTATTATGATGCATTTCATCATCTGTCCTGTACAACACATTGAAACTGCTGATCTCTGTAGCCTCTCATTTTCCACGGGGACAGAAGAATACAACTATTATTAATCATTAATAAAATGTAACTACTATTGTTTATTATTTATTGTCAACTATTATTATTATTATTACGAAACCCTGGGGGATAAATAAGTATCTATCTATCTAGAAAGAGTGAAACACATCAGAGCTCAGGTGTGTGGGTCAGGTGTGTGTGAAACATGAAGGTTCAATGAGTGGAGCTCATTTAAACCAGAATCAGCTCCTCTTGTTTCCTCTAAGTGTCAGGAAACATGGTCACAGTCTCAGAACATGATGAAGTCACAGTGAAGTTGACCTTTGACCTTTTGGATGTCAAATGTCATCACTTCATTTGATCCTTATAAACATTTGAGTTAAATTGAGTTAGAGTGAATGAATTCATGAGTTACAGCTGGAAACCTGTTTTGTGAGGTCACAGTTGACCTTTGGCCTTTGACCACCAAATTCTAATCAGTTCATCCTTGAGTCCCAGTGGATGTTAGAGCCAAATTTAAATCTGTCCATGAAAAATAACATGTAACTGAATGTGTGCAGTTCTGACAACTGACCACCGGAGGCAGCGACAGTCTGCCTGGACCTGAGAGAAACAAGAGGCTCAGTGATGGACAGAACAAAGAGCCTGCTCACACAGAGAGAGAGGGAGGAGGGG